TTATTGAAACTTGAAGTGAGTCTAGTGCGGTTAGTAAATAAATGCCAGTCGCTATGTAGTCAAAGCTTATTTCTATTTCATAAGCTACTACACAACGAAGTTTTTTTGTATGTTATGTTGTTATGAAATCTTTTGTTTTTTTTTTAAACAACTGCACGGATGGTGTAGTGTTTTAAGCGGTCGCCACGCCGCTTCCTATTGCGCCGAGTGTTATGGGTTCAAACCCCACATGGGACGTCCCCTTGTGTGATCTACAAATTGTTGTTCTGAGTCTGAGTGTTCTTTGTGTCCGTTTCATGTATGTTTGTAAAGTCTTTCTAAAACAAACAAAAAAAAACTTTTTGGATCCTTAATAATAAATCAAATATGGCACTTTAGGTAGTACTTTGAAAATAATCTTAAAGTTTTATAATAAAATAAAAGGCTTTTAGTATACTATTCTTTTTATAGTAAACAAGCAGATGGGTCACGTGACAGAAAGTGTATAAGCGGCGGTAGCCTAGTGGTTAAGGCATTGGACTTGCAATCAGGTGGTCGTGGGTTCGAATCCTGACCAGTACACCGCTGACGTGAACCTCACGCCTAACACAAGCAATTTAGCTTAGCATGAGGGTACCAGTAATTTCGGTTGCTAGTAGACGTTCCAAAAAAAAAGTGACTACCGTCACCGAGGGGTCACAAGCGCGTTGCCGGCTAAGTTATACTTAAGTAAGTCTACCATGAACTGTTAAAAGTTTCAGCCATCTTTGTACTTCAAAACTAAAGCAATGAGTTTTTTTTCTCATGTTGCAAACTATGGCAGTGTTCTCGCTCGACTTAACAAACACTCAGAGAGGGAACATCGGCGTGCTCCCGCCATCAAACGCAAAATAACCCGCTTTATTAAACAGAACGCTGAAACAACTGGATCTCTTTTCATACAGAACGCGGCACGTTCCGAACTAGAACAGTACACAAACAAATACAAATCTGTTTCATCCGATGATTCTCTTTTTACCGGGAAAATTTTATGTATATAAGATGTGTGAGGATATTATTATTAACTAGCTGCTCCGACAGAGATCGTTCTGTCGGAAATTGTTGGCTTCTCGCAGTCCAATAGAAAAATTAAATAACTTTATTTTGGGCAGGCATAGATTATCTTAAAGAATATTTTAGACTTAAGTATTAACAAATTTAAATTCGCAATAAAACGTGGCTTGTGCCAGAGGGCTACTGTGTACTACTACTGCTGTACTACTCAATTGTGGATTACATAGAAGACAAAAAACTTTGGATTAATTAGCGCAGGCTATTTCTTTCTTAAATAAAAATGTATGTGCGGCTAGTGTGTTTTTTTGTTATTTTTTCTATTTTTTATGTTTTACTTTATTTTCTCTTTTAATCGATTTTTTGTCTTAATCTTGTTTTCTCTTCGTTGTCTTTTTACCTTTTAGTCCTTAATAACGGACATACTGGCACACATCAAAACAATGTTGTTATATATTTAATAGTGCCATTGTATCTATCTGTGATTTGCCAAAGAGTTGCCGTGAGTTTGTTTGCCCTTTCTTCTCATAAGGCTTAACCCCTTGGAAACGGGCGGTTGTAGATCGGCACAGGCATATCATAGATTTTGTATGGGTTGGATTTTTGTTAAATTATTTTGCTTGCTTAATAATTAATTAAACAATTTTTAAAATTTTATGAAATAAAGAGAGTTTGAGTTTATCCATACAACCTAAACAACTTGAAGTCATAACAAAGATAATGTTAACGCGCCTATATTTGTTTGATTTTACGTTAAATGTTTGACCAGCTAGGGACAGGTGTTTTAATTTACTCTGTGTTAGTATGGGAAAAGAGAAGTGTCGTATTTACTATTTTTTTCGCAAATTTTTCCTTTTTTTTTCTCTCATGTACCTTCCTTGTGCCTTGACAAAAATAGGTTTTATAAATTAGCCGAATCGGTCGAGCCGTTCTCGAGTTTTGCGCCCACACCTGTGGCAATTCATTTATACTTATATAGATTTAAGAGTCTCCGTAAAGCCATGACACCGGGTAGTCTGACAAATAACATTATCTGACCTTCAACAGCTGTACAGACTTTAAGATTTCAGGGTCAATCACACGATTCAGCCACCCTTCAACTTCACTCGCCCACTTAATATTCTCAAACACAACCTCAACCAACTCAAATTTCGTCGTAAGTTGTTAAACAAGAAACGCGAACTTTTGTACAACAGCGAAACCGTTCAGACTCATCACTTACAACACGCACTTGTCTTTAATTACACCGCAAAGTACTCGTGTAAGCCGTCTCAGAGTTCACACGGGGCTGGCGTCGAGTGTCAATCTGAGATGGGTGTGTAGCGAGGCGCGGTGCCGTCTGCCTGTGTAAATACTGAGCCCGCTAATTTGTTGACACTCAGACATCAACAAGGATTGTGTGGCTACATTTAGCGAGAATACAATTTTGTTGGCTGTATTCAGATTTAATTGATCGTAAATATTTGAGGTTATGATTTCTTTCATTAGAATATATAGTTTTTTAGGTTTTAGGCTTAATGAATGATATTGAACAAGTCCAGTATTGTCTTTATCACAGACAAAATCTTATATAAACTACGTAAAGGCTTAAAACCCTACACAAAAGCTGGTACAGTCAGCACAGCTTTTTTTCATAATTTTAAGTTTGTATTTCTAAGTATGTATGGAACTTTAAATCAAAAAATCAAAATCAACTAGGCTATTATTCAGAATAATAATACCTTAAGACACACGGTCTTCTTACTACGCAACTCTGTACTTTGGTAATCAGACTTACCACACCTATACACATATCTATCTATTCGTATTACTAAATGCATTTATAGTATGAATTACACGCAGATATAAAAGAAATCATTTTGAATGTTACACAATTAATAGTCCTGGGTCATCACTATACACTTGTCCAACAAGCCACTCAAACTATTGTCAAAACTGTGCTAAAAGCCTATAACTCCAATCAATGTTTCTCTGCTATTTTATTCCTTTTACTCCAACCTTACATGACCTCAACTAACAAATTGTGGTACAAATCCACGGATTGATTCAAGCCGGCTTTCACGATGATTCAGAGAGCATATGGGTCACTGGTCGATTGATCCGACACACGTACAAATGGCGCTATTTGTGGGAAATAATCCGTCTACTGATTCGGAGGCTAATTTGCCTCGGTGTGGGAATTAGGAGTCTCTAACGGGTTGCTGAGGGGTTTGGATGGCCGGATACTTAATTCTCGTGTAAATGAGCCCTGACTAGAGATATATCATTAGGAATTACATAGTTATCGATAATGCTGTGAAATGTTGGAGGATTTGATTGGAATAAATAAACTATACAGTGAAATCAATTGGGGTCAAGCGACAAGCGAGGAATAAATTATGACGAAATTGGCAAGTTCAGTTTTGATCGAAAATGGAGTAACTTAAATAATAAATGGGCTCCATTTTTATAATAATGACCATAAAGAGTGTTCCGTATGGTGAATAACGTGTATAAATTTGTACAAATAATGTCTTCATTGCAAGACCATATATTTTTATAATTAAAGGACTATTTATTTAAGGCTATTTTTCCAAAGTCTTAGGTTTTATAATTTCGAATATAAGATGGTATAATTGGTAATTTTTCCTTCATTCGATTAGATTAGATTAGATAGATTAAAAACGATATGATCCTACGAAATAATAATATAATAATAATATTCTACCACATTCACACAACGCCATCTAGTCCCAAACTAAGCAGAGCTTGTACTATGGCTACTAGACAGCTGATATAAATACATATTTTCTTTTTTTTTTGTAAATACATACTTATTATACACGCACGCACGCAAACCAAATCAAACATTAAATGTTCATGCACACAAATGTTTGACTTCGACGGGAATCGAACCCGAGAACTTTGGGATAGCAATCCGTTACACAAACCACTACGCCATCCGGTCGTCGACCTATTCAGATATTCAAATAATTGACCTCTTCACAATAAGAACGAAGGAGTTCATTCTTTTGAATGATTAAAATTACTTTGACTACTATGATACAGCACTTTGTCATAAACCAGTGGAATTTTAGATTTCAACACCCAAATATATAGTGAATACTTACTTTCTTTAAAAAGAAAATCAGTAGACATGACATACACCAGATCTTACGTCACGTGTATGTAGAACTTACGTCACGTGTATGTATGTAGTAAAAGCGACTTTAATACGTAGTGGTTAAATAGTGATTACTTTAACTCATTGCTTGACATTTGTGGCTCTTGGAAATTGTCTCTCTTTTATAATTTAAACTAAGTATTAAATTCACTATTGTTGCTCAAAGAAAACTGTAATTCTTTCATCTCCAAACTATTTTCACAATGTTTTGCAAAACGATGCTTTTTTTATAGAATTCTTTTATTATAAAATAACTTGTAACAAAGGCTTGTGCTTAAAACCTATTCTCAAGAAAATTTAACTCAGACTGTCAGTCGTGAAACGGTTTAAAGAAATTCAGAATAAATCTCTTTGTAAAGAGATAAGACCATTATGCATTATTTTCTTTTCTTTAAAATCTACTTTTCTTAGGGTATGGTTATGGTAATATAAGTATTAAGTATAGTAAAATACAAACTTATAAGTTTGTATTTTAGGATGTGTCCAAACATCTTTTTCTTCTTTTTTTTAAAGACAACTCCTGCATTAGGTATATATCCTGTGTCGCGGGGTACTTTACAAACATACATGAAACCGACACAAAAAACACTCAGACTCAGAACAACAATTTGTATATCACACAAAGTGTCGTCCCATGTGGGGATCGGACCCACAACAATCAGCGTAGTAGTAAGCGGCGTGACGACCGCTTAAACCACTACGCCATTCGTGTAGTCGACACCCAAATATGTCTAGTATCTCAAATTAGTCAAAACGTTTTTTGAAATTTCTACATTACTTTACTTTAAAAAAAAACAGGTAAAAGAAAATGAGAATGGCGATAATGGTCATTTTGCTGTTCGGACCAGTTACGGTGCTTTTATATTATGTGAAAGAAGAAATAAACTCAAAAAACTAGTTGAAAAAATACAGGGACATCGAGTTTGAACAATATTTGATCTTATGCTCTGAGAAACATCATTTTCAAATTAAGTTTTACTTCATTTTAACTATTTATATGTACATACTTGTAAAATAAATAGTTATTCTACAAATACTAACACCAAACGGTATAGCTACAAATCACCTTTAAGCATTTACCTAATCGTTTATAAGTGCACAGGTAATATATTCCTTAGGTGTTACCTCCAGAATTTAGTGTTAGATCTTAGTCCATAAATGCTCTGTTAATTGGAATGGTTAATCGGATTTCTGTGCTGAATACAAGGTATGAATTACTGGGTCTCTCGGGTGCCTGGATGAGTTTACCAATGGCTAAGATAATGAATTAGACATACTTACGTGTTGAAAGCGCTGGGACATATTACACATCGATATCTAGACACTACAGAACTTGACTAGGAATAGTGTATTCTGACACTTAGAAATACTTAGATGGTTTGTTTAGTAGGAGATATTCATTATCAATATTTCCCTATTAATTTAATGTCTATCAGTGGTCAGCGCAATTGTGAAGGATTTTCTTTGGTTCCTTTCATGGTTGGTTTGTCACTGCTCCTTGGGAATATAATCAGTTTTAGACTTGACGAAAGAGGACGGTGAATTAGAATAAGAAAAACGAGGGAGCGGGGACTATTGGTACCATATGTCTCAGATGATAAACTACACTTAGACTGCAGGAGCTCGAAACTCGTATGTCCGTTCTGGAATTGGTCTAAATATAATAAACAACCAGACAGACACAAATAATTTTACACAAAGTAAGGATCGTGCCCGCAACCTCTAACTTTGCAACTAAATACTCTACCACTATGCCTATCATCATCAATAGCCTGTAATAGTCCACTGCTGCACTTACAAAGTAATACGTACCAACCAACTTAAGGCTTGCAGAAAAGACTAATACAAATAATACATGTGTGTGCATATGTGTGTGTGTGTGTATGAGTGTGGAATGTATGTGGGTGGGTAAAACTGTAATGGGTGAGTGGTGTGGGTAGCTTAATGATCTTCTCTTGATTTGGTTTATATAGTATAGTTGCATTTTTATTTATTTCTTTTTTCTACTTGTACGCTATCGTGGAACATTAGGAGGAGCGGAATCTCCTAACACAGGCTTCTCATTGCCTAACAGGAGACCCCAGCCACTAGATTGTAAGATGTTTAAGAAATTAATAAAGATATTATTATTATTATTATTATTGCTGGATGGCCTCTCCTTACAAAAGAGGTTTATAACTATGCCTATACATCAATCATAATTATGTAAATTGGCTGTAAACGCAGCCCCAAGCTGCCTTTAAAGGTACTGATATTTCTACCAGTTCATAAATAGATACTCTTTCGTGTCATCGCTCGCACTGACCTATCTGGTGCGATGAGCTGGCTTACTGTGGACTAGATTAAAGAAATGGCTTATTATGAAAAAAAAGGGCAAAATAGGGAGAGAAAATACTCGTATTTATAATAAAAATGAGGGCAATAGGTTGCTCTGCGCATTGTGATATTTTTACTATTAAAATATAAGGTGGCAGCAGCCTACTCTTAGCTTTCTTTTTAAATATATGTGACAAACAAAATCCCAGCTGAAGATTACTGTGAGGTGATCGTGACTTGTGAAGGTTTCTTATATTTGTTGCGGTATTCAACTTGCTTTGAAATTCTTTATGTTTCCATAGGTCATTAATTGATAATTCTAGCATAGGCAAGACTCGCAAGTATGATTTAACTGATTCTTTTAGTTCTTTTACTATAGACATTTTCACGCAAATATACCGGTTATGTCCGGATATAGCCGGATATAGCCGGTTTATGTCCGCGTTTTTCCACTCTTTAAATATATTTTGTATCCCTCTGGAAAAGTACTCTTTTCCTCTACAAAAGGCACCGTGAATACAAAATTTTGTGAACTGAAGTTCAGTCATAAAATGTTCTAAACAAACCAACATTCACATTAATAATATTTTGATTAAATAGCCTTCATCATGTCGTAATGAATACGTCACGTACTACCCCGCCCATGATGGACAATACGATTACTAATTCATCTCCTTAAATGTCCTGTCTGCCAGACATCAGCCCCACACATTCATTAATAAATTATAAGACGACGGATGGCGTTGTGGTTTGTGTAACGGACTGCTATTCCAAAGGTCGCGGGTTCCATTCCCACTCAAGTCAAACATTTGTGTGCATGAACATTTAATGTTTGATTTGGTCTGGGTGTTTCTATGTATAACATGTATGTATTTACAAAAAGAAAGTATATATGTATTTATATCAGTTGTCTAGTTCTCATAGTAAGTACAAGCTTTGCTTAGTTTGGGACTAGATGACGTTGTTTGAATGTGGTAAAATATATTATTATTATTATAAGTGAAGTCAATTAACGAATTATAATCATGTCGATTAGAGGGTTCCTACAATCTCAAATATTTCCTAAATGAAAATAAAACCTAGGCGTAATGGGACTTTTTTAGTATCCGTAATAATTCTAACAATACCTGGGACCAAAAGAGCACACAAAATATTGAGGAGAATAATTTTTCTGTGTTTTTTCGATATTAACTTACTTACTTTAGAAAGATCACAAACTCAAACTCTCTTTATTTCATAAAATTTTCAAAATTGTTTGAAATCGTCTTTTATGTAGACTCTAAAGTCATAGATCAACACACACAAAAGCAACAATCTCTGTTTTGTCAAATAGTAAGCAAATAAATTTAACAAAAATCAAACCCATGCAAAATCTATGATATGCCTGTGCCGATCTACAACCGCCCGTTTCAAAGGGTTTGAGCCTTATGAGAAGAAAGGGCAAACAAACTCATGGCCACTCTTTTGCAATTCACAGATAGATAAAATGGCATTATTAAATACTCGTAATAGGTCTAATGAAATTACCGTTTTGTATGCAATAAGTTACCTACCGATTATTACTTTTTCCAAAATTTAGACAACTTTTTAGTAGGTAAAAAATTCAATTCCCGAGAGGCAGTACAAAATGCCTTTGAAAAGTTTGTTGCCTCCCGTCCAGCTGATTTTTACAAGAAGGGCATCAATAAACTGCCAATGCGTTGGCAAAGATGCGTCGATTGCATGGGTGATTACTTCGAATAACAGAAATAAAAAAGTTTGAATAAATAAGTACTTTCACTTATTGCATACAAAACGGCAATTTCATAGGTAAAGACCTAATATACCACAACATTGTTTTGATGCGTGCTAGTATGTCCGTTATTAAGGACTAAGTGTAAGTTATACAAAAACACAAATGAAAGTGTCCAGCAGTAGACAGTAAGAGTGTGTCGAAATGAAATTGTGCCTTTTGAAATATATTTGCAACTGACGGTAAAAATGATCACACGGAATACGGATGTACTAAATAAGTCTAATATTACAAAGAGTTCAATGTTAACATGGTGTAAATGTATTGTTTCAGATGCGTTGCTGCGTGGCCGCGCTGTTGGTATCAGCGCTCACCACTCTCGCCGTGGCCGTCGCTGATGACGCTCACCATGACGTCAGCGCCCCACAGGTAAGATACCCTCATAATTATATACCAGACATGTCCGTGTGGTGACGGCATGAGAATACGGCGTGTGACAACTCCGAATTCATCTCGTGGATGTTGTAGGAGCAGACTAAGGCTGCAAACTGCAGGACAACAGCACTGCAATAAGTAGAAAAACTTTACACAATCTCTATACCTACCAAGCTATGCCCAGCAGTGGACTATTTAAGGCTGATGATGATGATAAACTTCAAATTGCCACTGGTATGAGATTCTTATTACCTCACAAGGAGCTATTTTCTTTTATTAAAAATGGATCTAAATGATGGTGGTAGACTGCTACAAGGGGTATCCTTAGCGTCACTGTATTTAAAATACGATGTACTTCGATTTATATTGGTAAAAAAACCATAGACAATTTACCTCTACTATCAAATAACTTAGATAATTGGACTACAATTATATAAGTTATTTGATTTGATTGTAGAATATAAAACAATTAGTTTTTCTGTTCACAAGACATCACATCATCAACAGCCCTTAATAGTCCACTGATGGACATAGGCCTCTCTTTAGAAAAGAGGTTTTAGTTTACTATACACGCGGACCAAAGGGTTTGCTATAGGGTTTGTTTCAAGATTTCCTTCTCTTTGCAGTACTGTTGTCCTGCACAGTTTTTTCTCTAAGTCGGCTCTTGCGACACCCACGGGATGGTGACACTCCGTATTCTTAATCCGTCACCACACGAACTAAGACTGTTACTTATTGTAAAGTATAATTGTCACTACGACACAACAAAAAATGAATTGAATTAGAAAACAAATCAAGACAGACGATAACTAGATTCCTCAAGCCCATTGCATAGGTATGCCTTCAAAATCATTGATTTTGTGTTGATAAAATATCACTTAAACCTACTTATTATCGACCTCGTCCAATATTTAATAGAAGGTGAGACAGAGGCCAACAAACAATACTAAAATTTATACCTGTATTAATTGTTGTGTGTCCACGTGAAACATCCTTCCGTTTACATTTCTAGTTGAGTCAATAAGTGAAGCAAACTCCGATGTAGGACTAGTCTGTTAGTGTAGTGGCCAGTGATTTTGACTGTTCAGCCAGAATTAGCAGAGCTCATGTCGTTCCAGCCTCGTCCCAAGCAGATGACAGGTCTTGCCAGCCTCTATATATATATATATATATATATGTATAGATAGTTCAACTCAGTTGTGCGCGCGGCCTTATGTGTGCGTGGGCTTGTAAATATACAACTTTCATTCGTGGTGTCTCATTCTACAATCAAAATGAATAGCTGTTGAAACTCAAAGCTCTTTTAATTTATTATTTAAATGGTCTCAATAGCTGCTTAGAGACTTAATTCTAATATATATATGTATTAGAATTATTGGAATTGAGAATTGGAACGACATGAGCTCTGCTAATTCTATTCGCCATAATACCAAAGTACTTTCTATGTTAGGACTTGGATAATCACAAGAGCTTGTGTCAACTGGTTCCGACATGTTCCAATGTTCAAGTTGCTCGTGGAAACTACAAAATTAACATGTTAAAACACATATACGTATCTGTCGATCGACTGGATAACAACTCATAGTATAAAACGTGTGGTAGGTATATTGACTACACTAAATACATAGTGAGAAATTCTTCATTTCCTATAGAAAAGGATTATTATTATGACATAAGTGGTGCAAACGGTAATAAAATTGATAATATTTCGGACATCTGACGCACAACGCCATCTAGTTTCAAACTAAGCAGAACCTGTACTATGAACGCTAGATTGACTGATAGAATACTAAATCTATAATAATAATATTATAAAGCTGAAGAGTTTGTTTGTTCGTTTGTTTGTTTGTTTGTTTGAACTCGCTAATCTCAGGAACTACTGGTCCGATTTAAAAAATTCTTTCACTGTTAGATAGCCCATTTATCGAGGAAGGCTATAGGCTATATATCACCACGCTAAGACCAATAGGAGCGGAGCACCAATGAAGAATGTTTTAAAAACGGAGAAAATTTATTAATATTGAGAGACGCAGACGAAGTTGCGCGGGTCAGCTAGTAAATAATAAGTACGTACTTATTACGTTTTGCATCTTAAAGAAGTATTCGAATTCCAGTCAACATTGTACAACGATAAACGGTAAGCATATTTTTGGAGTCATAGTCAATTCTGTAAATGGCGCAAAGCGGTAATCAGCATGACTTAAAATCCGAACTTGAAACTTACGCCATCCATACTTTTATAATTTATTATGTCTAATTCAATAGCTAGTAATTGATAAAAAGATTGTGTAATGCTCTGAATAGTACCAAAGCCCCCACAAGAAATACATAGACATAGATAGGGTAGACAAAGGTCAATTAAACGTCTGTCAATCTTTAATTTTGGTCCCATTTCCGTAATACGAACAAGCATATTACCCTCTACCGGATACTTTAGGAACTAGTTGAGAGAATCGGTGTATATGTGAGCATATCAAGATTTGAGATTAATAATAATAATCTCACACATCCCACACACGGACATCTGGTCCCAAACTAGGCAGAGCCTGTACTATGGTAACCAGACTGCTCATAAACATACTTATATATTTATAAATACATACGTATTATACATAAATTACACCCAGACACGGAACAAATGACCGTGCTCATAACACAATCATATGTCCTGGGTGGGAATCGAACACACGCCCTCTGGCGTAGCAGTTAGGGTCACTAACCACTAGACCAACAGGCCCGTCAGAATGTAAGCAATATCCCGACCAGGTGAAGGTCACATACCATTAAGTCGAACTATGTAGCTGTTATCGGAGAGTCTGAAGAGAAATACATAAACAGAAGTATTGAAATGAATATGTATTATTTAATTGTCGTCATGATGTTGAGAAAAAGCATTTTCTGATAAAAACATTTTTGCATAACTGTGTTTTTGAAGCGATGCCTGATGGCAAGCACTTTGATCTGAACAACAACATAATTAACATTCTGAGAGCGACGGAACGCCATAATAGAATAATAAAACATGTTGCAGCCAGTCGCGCGAAGCTAATGTTGTGGTCGACTTTTTAGAACAACTATTCTTCTCTTCTTTGTTCTAGCCAATTGTACCAATAGATGAATGTTTTGAATAAACAAAGCTAATAGAATTGCTTACTTCATAGCACGTTTGAAATCTCTCGGCGGGTGCGGCGCTCTGCTCAGAAATTAATAGTTTTATTTCTCTACACCGACGCTTTACATTTATTATTGTAATACGGTGCAATGGAAATGCATGCGCTTTGTAATATCCGGTGTGCTCATACATTGACAAACAAATTGATTAAAGCAAACAGGACCAACTTTTCAACAATTGTATTTCGTTCATATTAAACTCAATTACAGTATATATTGCGCTAGTTTAGATAAAAACAATAATTCTATTCATTGTTTTAGAATGACAACGAAGTAGAATTAACTGAAGAAGACAAAAGAGCGTGGTCCAGCCTACACGGCGGCGGTGGATGGGGCAAGAGAGGTTGGCAAGATATGAGCAGTGCCTGGGGCAAACGTGCCTGGCAGGACCTCAACTCTGCCTGGGGCAAACGTGGCTGGCAAGACATGAGCAGCGCGTGGGGTAAACGCGCATGGCAGGATCTTAACTCTGCTTGGGGTAAAAGAGGCTGGCAAGATCTGAATCCCGCCTGGGGCAAGCGTGCTTGGAGGGATATGTCTCAGTCGCCTTGGGGCAAGCGAGGCTGGCAAGACATGTCATCTGCTTGGGGCAAGCGAGGCTGGAACGACATGAGCTCTGCTTGGGGCAAGCGAGGTTGGAATGACATGAGCTCTGCTTGGGGCAAGCGAGGCTGGAACGACATGAGCTCAGCTTGGGGCAAGCGTGCACCTGTAAGTATTCACAAACGTACTTTATACAGTTTCCACAGCTTACAGTTTTTGTTTCTTTTTTACGTTGCACTTACAAAGATTGGTGTCATATGACACTATAAATGTGTGATAATTAATTAAACTTATTTGTAAAATGGCTCTTCATCATACGATATTTTTGTTTATCCAGGAAAAGTGGGCGAACTTCCACGGCTCCTGGGGCAAACGTGAAACCGACCCTGACTACGAAGAAATGGACGCGGTCATTGAACAGTTGATACCTATCCAACAGGTAAATATTTCAACGACAATTCTCAACTTTTTTCAAAAGTACAACAAAGTTTTCTCTATTTACATAATGTTCTGACAGTTCTTTAATATTTTGTATTCAAAGCGCATTTATGAATTTTAAACAGTTACAGATTACCATTTTTTATATTAATGGCAAAATGAATACCTACTGCCGTTATATAATCTTGTGGGCAATGTAATATAAGGGTGTCATGGTTAGCCTTTTTCTTATAGTGTCGACCATTAAATGATATAAAAAAGCTACTCTTATTAATAATGCTTAACCACTGGCTGATTCATTTAAATTTAAACCTTAATGTAAAACGGTTAACTAATCCTCAATTATCTGCGACCGTAAATACGGTAGTTTTTAAATCTTTTAACGAGTTACGTATGCTATTTGACTTAGATGTCAGCAGCTTAGAAAATAAATGACAGACATTTGTAAATGACAAGACAACGTCTTAGGAATCTCAGCGCTTGACGTATACGAAAAATAATAGGCAATTTCGAAAAACCAACAAATAGAGTATTTTTATAATCTATGGAAGGCGATGAAGGTAACCAATTACTGAATTATTTAGGTCCAGGACATGGAACGAATTGAGTCGCCGGAGAAGAAAGCGTGGTCTGCGCTGCATGGAGCATGGGGCAAGCGACCAGTCAAACAGGCTCAGTATAACAGTGGTAAATTCATATATATACTTCTTTTAAATAGAAAAAAGAAATAAAGCTGTGTACTTACAGATAGTCGGTTGATATATGTTCACAATACTGTCTAATTAAATGAAATAGGTCTTAATGTGATAAATTCTCATTAAGGAAACAAACCACTCAGTTCGGTTTTCAAATTGCTTGTTGATTAATAAATTGGACTATTGTGAACCTTTTACTTAAGTTACTTATCATTGGTCTTTTAAATAACCCTGGGGTCATTTCCAAATACTTCATAATACAATTTAGAACAGTATATTTGACCCAAGTAATGTTTTCTAGGTACTGTATTAGCTACAAGAAACTATAACTCCAGATTTGGTTGTGTTTTAACTTCTGTGAGTAAGCAACTTTGCTTTCAAATATTCTTTGAAAAAGTTGCAGCAAAAACGTTACCAGCTAATAGATGAAAAGCTGTAAGTAAGGATATGTAGCGGGAAAATGTATAATCTCGTCTCTTTGGCGGGCTTTCAAAGCACCATTTTAATTAAATACGAAGTGGAATTCCTCTGGACAAGTTTTAAGCCTATATTACTGTTGAGTTTTTAATTTCATGGTAGAATGTGTAATATCATATGTAGGTATTTAAGTACAGCAAGTATAATTAATCTAGCAGACGTAACATTGTACTTTCCTGGCTTAAAAAGAAATGTTAAACCGTCCACCGTTTTGTACTCGTATTCTCTTGATTAAAAGAATAATTCTGAATCCCGTCTTGCAAAAGTTGACGCTAACAAATGGTATTCTGTTAAAAGCACTTGTGAATGATAACTGAAGGGGCAATTATTACTGCGACACTTGACAAATGTCTCCTCGAAGTGATTGATTTCAATACTAAGTTGTTTCTGTGTCGCGCTGTTTGCCGTCTCGAGTGGCGCAGCTCGGTGACATCTCGATTAATAAAGTTTTGTTTCAGACAACCCTAGATTGTATATTGTCTACGGTCTATTCAGTTTTAATTAAATATATACATTAACTAGTGTACAATACAAAGTTAAAATCACGTTTCGCTTTTCTAATTAAACTAAAAGCTGAGTTAAGTACTATTCACCAACAGCGATGTGTTGTAGATATTTATTATGTATATAAGGTTATGGTATTGATAGCTGGAGATGAATTAATTATAAATCTCTTTAAAAGAAGGTGAACCGACTTCAAACAATACTAACAAAGATCACTAAAAACCTAGTAGCAATCGCGATTGATTTGATGTCGTTTTTTGAGGAGTTCGGTTGTCTATCTCCGAAACTCATCATGAGATCTATATAAAATTTAAATGGGAACATAAAAAAGATTATTAACATCCGAATGGATAACCTCCTCCTTTTTAAGTCGGTTAAATATGACACTTTCATTCCCGATGAAGTGGATAACACAGAAGCTTTAAAAAAAATAGGATATTTAGAAACAGTCGGAGCAATAAGACTTCACTCAGCATCCTTGCCTTCACTTATACTCGTAGAGAACACTGACATTCTTCAAAATACTGAGTGAAACTGGTGTACCAATGTTTCGACTATATTCAGTGTTTGTTGACACATAAAAATGTTACTATTTCTTCATCGGTATAGGGGTATACGGTACAGAACGGTATAAGTTTGTTGCCACCCTTTAAACCTTCCCCCAGAATGAGGGATGTTTGGACATGGCACTTGACGGAAGGCAACGATAGAAATACTTAACACCAGTTTTCTGTAACGGCGTGTTATCACTCCGGTTGAACCTGCCCATTTATGCCGTAGCATGGCTCTCCTGCTTTATGTTTATGGACCGTACTGCCTCAGGACCTAACAAAGTGTGCCTCTATTTTGTGTATAATTATAACTACCTACACCCCACAGTTCGTACCTAATATGTTTGCAGCTAACTTGAAATTTGTTGGAGCATCCCACAGAATTAGATAATATTCGTCGCCCGCCTTTTTTAAATTAAATAGCTCCGAGTCAACATGGCCGCCGTCCAACAGACGTTAACAAGGAATTTTTCACGCGTCAAACTTCATAATTTCGTATAAATTTAATGACTGACAATTTTATTAAAAGTAGGATCCGTTTCTGACGGTGTATTAATATAATCCTCAATTACGTTTTTATTTCAATTGAGCTTTTATTATTCAAAAAGTATTTTAGACGTGTTATTAAAATGGTTAGTAGATATATCTTAAGTGTGGAAGAGTCATGTTTCGGCACAAATGGGCCGAGTGGAATGATACGGCTGCACATACAACCTATGTTAAGCTGTCGTGTATTGCTATTCACCAGATAAGCGAGGCTCAACTCTCCCGCGCTCTGATCTTGGGTAGGCACTCGAAACGCAGCACTGCACTTGTGTATATTGAGCTGCAGGGTCACCTCCCGTGAGATGACCCGTTAGCTTGTTTGCCCCAATACCATAAACAAGTACAATAAGAGTTTGTGAAGATTTTAAATATTTTTTATTATCGAAGACGGGGGAAACGAGCAGACGGGTAAAGCGACTACCGCTGCCCATGACGCCTGCAGTTCAGGAATCACAAACGCGTTATCGGCTTTTGAGGAAGCAATACTCTTTTTTTGAGGTCTTATCTGTCCGGGAATAACGCAAACGATAAATATGTAGTAAATTGACATCCCTTTGGAGGTGCAAATGTCGATTGGGAAAAAATATAGGGATTTGAATTTGAAGTATGTATGTGGCCTACAGGATCATATTACTGGAAGCGCGAGCCCGCCTGGACTAATTTAAGAGGCATGTGGGGCAAGCGTTCAGCGCAGTTGGACGTGGACGCAATAGATGATGAACATGGTAACCACACTTGACGACAGCAGCTTCTAGAAGCTCGCACACACTTGTAGAACTCGAAAGTTGAATTATTGTAGTAGCTTTTACCCTTTCGCACTAGGCTCTCTTCTATCTTCTGTTTCACCTTAGCAGTCTTTCTGTAGTTAATGTGTGTAGCTAGTTCTGTACTTAACCTTCTAGATTCTTCATTCCTCTACGTATACCTTCCTATATTTGTTGAGTTTCCCTTCCATGCTAGATTTGTGTTACTTTTAGAAACATTGTAAATAGATCGTTGTGTAAATAATAATATACACAGAATATATGCTTTCATGCTTAAATAAGGAGCGCATTGTATACAAGCTTCGTAAATCTACACATATTAAACAAAAATTCAAAGTTGGTCTGTTCATAATCACAAATCTGCCAAATTGCTCTACCGATCGTTTTAAAAAAAACATAACTTTGTAGTCATATACTATTAAAGAAGGGTACTCCGTACACACACACACACAAAACAATATTTCACTGTTGTAATTTTATGGACTGAGGTATCGTTCATGCGGTCATCATGAATTTTGGCATACTTACAGGTATATACAGCAAAAGATTTAAAGTTACTTTCATTCAGAAAAACTTTTGGATATTTGGAAAAATAACTTTACACGAGCGGACATAAGCGGTAAATAATAAACCAGTAAATGTATAAATAATCATACATCATCATCGTCACACCTATCGCAGTAGACCGATGGACATAGGCCTCTCCAATCTCCGTTTGTTCTTTTTTAGAAAAGACAACGCCCGCACTAGGAATATATCCTGTGTCGCGGTTGACTTTACAAACACATGAAACGGACACAAAGAACACCCAGACTCAGAATGTCAATTTTTGGATAACGCAAAGTGTCGTCCCATGTGGGGATCGAACCAACAACACTCAGCGTAGTAGTGAGCGACATGGCGACCGCTTAAACTACGCCATCCGTGCAGTCATTCGATTCGATACTCGGTTTTTCGCATCCAGAATGTAATAATCACACATGTGTATACATAAGTGAGTTGAAAACTCAACATTCTTTGCAAAAATATTACTCTTGGATGAGCATTACCCACAGATAAAATATTATTGTTGAATTACAATACTGCGATAAAATCTTCTATGTGACGAAGCGTGACATCGAATTGTCCACACGAGGACAACTGTTTCGGCTTTGGTGCATAGTCATGTCTACACGAGTGATTTTGTATCTTTCACACTCCGTAAAACATTACACTGTTTTTTAAACATCCATTCTGCCTTCTCTTATTCAAACAATCCGTAACTTCAAACTGCTCAATACTTTTTGAACTGATTTCAAAAAGTACCTAACTGAATAATCCATTGTTTCACTGAAAGGATTTTTAAGTAGGTCTAATATAAAGGAAGTTTAAACGAATCAAAGTGTTTAACCACTCGAAAACAAAGTCTCAAGATAAACAAAACTTCATGACAGATTAACTAACAAAGCTAAGGAAACCTGCTTAATGCCAACAAGTAATAAAATGTAATTAAATCAAGTGCGGTATTCCAGCTCACTGGCTACTTTGGATGTTTAGTTAACCCCAGTGGGTTAAACTTGGCTAACTTATTTTACGATTTAATTCATCGCATCTTGACTTCCATCTTGACCCATACAATCAATCCAGATTTTTTGGGCATGCAGTTTTAGTTTTATTTTTTTTATGTTTAGAACAAGTAAGTTATATTTTTAGAGCGACAGTAAACCTGTGATTCATTAATCTTCCTACCCTTTCCCCTTTTTATGTATGTAACGTGTAACAGAGGTTTTACGGAAAGTGCCTTATGGTAAAAAAAGACATTACTATAGTTTATAAAAAGGTTTTAAAATAACCGATTTAACAACATTATTTAAAAAACAGATTTTAGAAAACAAATTCAACGCAACAACAACACTAACACTATTTCAATCGCTTTTCTATTGATTAAATAAATGTTGTAAAACATACCAAAATTTATTAAGATATAAACGTTTTTAGTCGGTCAGCCATGATTGATTAAAAATGTTACTACAAAAACAAATATTTATTAGTATACCATGTGCGCTGCTTCCGTTTATAACTTAATTAAAGAATGTATATAAACAATAAAAAAAGCGTTTATAAGTGAGTATGTTATTTGATTTAACTAATATCATCCGTTTGTTCCCACAGAGAGTGCTCCGCGGGACGAGGCCTAGACTACCGGAACTGTGTACAATAATATATAACTAAATACTATATGTAACAAACTGTCATATCTTAGGTGCCACTGTTTCTCAATATCATTAATTATTCTACTGTCTGTTTCACTAGTGTCACACCTTGCATATTTTATTTTGTAAAAATTCAAAATGGCGATCATCAAATATTTTTTAATTCATATTATCTTTTATCTATGGTAACATTTTTTTAAGAGTTTGTATTTCGAATTAAAATGTGTCATTTCAAATAAACGACAAGAGGATTAGAATTTATATGTGTGTATAATCTGCTGAATATCCAAAAGTACCAATGCTTTTTAAACACATTATTTTATGTTATTATCTAACAAATATTATTTTATTATTTTTGTAAAGGGTGTGATATAAGCTGTGTACTGTTCCCTTATCTGTAATGCGCTTCTAAATTGAAATATTCGTACAAATAGTCCTATGTCACCTTCTAGTGTAAACAAGATTTTTATCAAACATAATATATTTACATTAAGATGTAAGGAATAGTGTTTATTTTTACGACAACTGATATTAAGTGTAACGGTGTAACTGCATAAGGCGTAGTGCACACGAATAACTCTTATGTACGTGTATAATTATAGCTAGACAATTAATTGTATTTTATTAGTCAAGTTGATGTACATTGTACTATGAGACTTCGCAAGAAGTTCGAGTTTGTCCAATAAAAGTTTATTCTGAAGCCGAACCTTGTTTCATTGGTACACAAACTACACACACTAAATATATATTGGTATTATGGTATTATAATTCAAACTACACATACAAAGTTTCATTTCGATACAACAATTGGATAGTTTTGGAACCCAAATCTGAAACGATTACGAAACATAATTATGAAACCTATCCTGAAAGACAAGGGTGATTTTTAACAATGTATTTTTTTTTTTCAATTAAATTTCGGACATCTGACACAACGCCATCTAGTTTCAAACTAAGCAGAGCTTGTATTATGAAAGCTAGATTGACTAATACATACATATTATACATAGAAAACACCCAAACTCCGAAACAAATATTTGCAGATCATACAAACATTTGGTCTGACCAAGGAATCGAACCCGAGACCTCAGCTCAGCAGTCGCATACGTTACCACCGAGGCAGTCAATTATTATTTCAAAATTGCCACATCATCATTGCTTTCTTATCTGAGACTTGTGACCAATCATAATAGAAGGACTAAAGTGGAACAAAATACCGAACGAACACCTTTTTACCTACATCATCATCATCAACAGCCTGTGGTAGTCCACTACTGGACATAGGCCTCTCCTTAGAAAGGAGGCTTTGGGGCCTTTACCTACCGCTACAACTAATTATGGGGTAATTATAACAAAAGAAAAAGGAGTATTTTGGTACACCCGAAAATTGTCTATTAAGAAACTATGAACTATGAAAAATATGAAAACATTGCTCTGGTCTTGTAACCAAGACAAGACGAGGTTTTCTTCGGAACATAGGCATATCCTATGTTCTCTGTAAACTGCACCTCACAAGCGGTAAGTACGGTATCATACTGATCCAGACGCCTCTGAAATCTGAAGACATTGCTCTTTTCTTGTAACCAAGACAACACGAGGTTTTCTTCGGCACATAGGCATATCCTATGTCCTCTGTAAACTACACCTCACAACCGGTAAGTACGGTATCAAACTGATCCAGACGCCTCTGAAATATGAAAACATTGCTCTTTTCTTGTAACCAAGACAAGACGAGGTTTTCTTCGGAATATAGGCATATTCCATGTTCTCTGTAAACGGTAAGTGATAAGCTTATAGACGACTAGGAATTTATTTGAGTCTCAGACAAAATAACATGATATTCCTCGCTCATCTTTTGAAAATAAACGACCTGAATCAATATGGCCGTTGTCAAAACTTATAATATTTTGATCAGTGTGATCTATTGCTAAAACTCATAATGATTTACACAAAAATAAGATAGTACCCGCAAAGGCCGGCGACGCGCTTGTGTCTTCAAGTTGCAGGAGTTCATAGTCGCTTTCCATCAAATGCTTCGTTTTGGTTACGTAACATATTTCCTCTAGTTTTCCTGCAATGAAAACGAATGATTTCGTGTAATGGGGCGGAAGTATGGAACAGGAAACGGAGAAAGCTCGCGCTATTTGATTTGTCAACTTTTTGACAATTACATGTTACAGATCTTTTGGACTCTTAAGTTTCATCCTAAAAAAATCTCAAAACTTTAGCAACCATCATGTTATAAGACTAATTTATGGGACTTTGGCTCGCTGGAGATGCACCAACTTGTAATTAGGTACGTGTATAATTTTTAGAGGGTTCGTTGATGTACCTTCGCAACCGGGCTCATATGTTGTTTGCGTACTCTCTCTCTCTCTCACTCTTTCTGCACTCAAGGCTCTCCTGCGTGCCAATCCCAATTGTGATTTGTTTGCGGATGGATGGCCCAATATAATGCTGGTATCTTTGCGATTCTGTGAGCTGGAGGGATGTTTTTAGGGTTCCGTTCCTCAAAAGGTAAAAAAAGGAACCCTTATAAGATAACTTTCTTGTCAGTCTGTCCGTCTGGACCACCGATTTTCTCAGCAACGGACCGGTTTTTTTTTTGTTTAGATTTATATTATATCTTTGTTTTCATTTGTGTGTTTTTGTGTTGATATATATTTGTTTTTAACTATTGTAATTGGTAAAACCGTTACAATTAAAGTAAATAAAAAACATCTGTAACCACTGTAAGGTTCACTCGGTTTTTTATGTAACATTATATAAGTGTGAATGTTAGATGAATGTGGCATTGATGCATCTTTTATAAGTACTCTGAGGGGACACTACATCAGAAAAAAATGATTCATCTGACCTACAGGTTTGTATCTTGAATTATTCGGTCTGGACTAGTTTAAGATGCATGTGGGCAATTCGAAACAGAACTTTAAAACTAACCAAGTCAGGACTTGATAAGATAATTACTTTTTTACTTCCCGAAGCCAAAAAACAGTGAAAATTTTCCCACTTCCTCATTGCAAAGTCTTTTGCAAAATCCTTAGAAACCTGTTTCTTTGTTATCAGAGCACCAGGGACTTCCTTTTAGTCGGTTCGAGTCCAACATGCCACCGACAGGTGGTATCCGAGGGGATTTCCGCACGGAAAAAAAAAAAAAAAAAAAACAAGGCCCCTAAATCAGAAACAAAAGTATGTAAAATTAAAGAAGGTATGTATGTAGCACATGGCAGTCATTGGTTTGTGATTTTTAGTTTAGTTTAGAGAGTTTCATCATCTGCACATCTTTTATGCGTTGATGTAGTGTGAAATGGACACGATAAGAATTGTATTACTGTGTGATTACACGAGCTTTAATAACTTAGGTAGAGTAAAGAGGCCACAGAACTGATTTAAATTAATATTTATATGGCCTTGCTGCCTTTTAAGTGCGACTGTTTTACTAAAATATGTGTCTTCCCGCTTGGGTTCGCTTTGATATCTTAAATTACAAATGGTTATGCTTCATTTCTTTTCAGGCCTGCCGTCTTTAACCGACCTTGGGAATATAATCGTTTTTAAACGAATAGAAATGATTTAAATCTGAATATCCCGAATCAGTCTACACTGTACTAGAATTACTAAACAATATGCAAGGAAAACAATATAATTTAATCGTGTGTACACAACCACACAGCCAGTTATACGTTTCATAACTTTTAACATGAAACTTGCGAGTTACATTTCCTTTTTGCTGGTTTAATTGTTGTAACTCGGTACACACCTACCTTTAGACACAATTTTAATCTTTTCACTGAATGGCAATTGTGAGAACTTCTTATTTTTAATTTTTAATAGACATACATTATCCACACATAACTCACAATTAAATAACATTTAAAAAAAATCAACGGAACTCAGTAATAAACTGTTAAATGTACACACTTTCAAATAAAACTATAATTATACTGGCGGAAAGAAAATAGTAAACAATGCTTATCACATGAAAAAAACAATATGGCCCCCGCGAACAAGAAACATATCTGCTAATTAAACAAATAAAACCTTACCATATTCAAAATTCATAATCCGCATACATGATTCATTATATTTCTGACTATTGTAATTGGGTGGATTTATAGGCAACGAACACTGCCGTTTATACCCGAATACTGACGACAACGATTAGCACGGGAGCCGAAGGCCAACTGCAGTATCCTGCGGCTGTAGTCGGGCATATAAAATAAATGGGTGTGTGCGTATGCGAACTGTGCACGGACACCAAAATTACTACACACATGCGAACAAATGTCCTGCGCGAGGCGACGGCATGAGTTGCTTTGCGCTTGCTTTTCGGTAAACACCTGGCAAACAATGTTTGTGTGGTGCTATGCTATTTGTAAATAGTACGCGTTTTTAAGTTATTATAATGTCTAATTTATTAAAATGTCTGTGAATAGCAAGTAAAGCACTGCATTTCTGCCTACAAGGAGCGCACGCCCCTGTCTAGTGGTTAGTTACTCTGACTGCTAAGCCGGAGGTCGTGGGTTCGATTCCCACCCAGGACAATTATTTGTGTGATGAGCACAATCATTTGTTCTGTGTCTGGGTGTAATTTATCTATAATATGTATGTATTTAGAAATATATAAGTATATATCAGCAGTCTGGTTACCATAGTACAGGCTCTGCCTAATTTGGGATCAGGCAGCCGTGTGTGAGATGTGTGAGGTTATTATTATTATTATTATAAAATTAACGCCTAACTGTATCCAGTTCGTACAATCACACATACGCACACACACACACACACACATACACACACACACACGTTTTGGAAATCCCATACTTCACTTTCTACTATATACTATTATATTCCCAAGGAGTTCATAAAAGAAAATGCCAAAACCATTTTAAAATGAAATGCTGGAGTCCGTGAAAGAGAATACCGAGTGATCAAAGAGAATGGAAGAAAAAAAACTCATAACACCGACCCTAAATAAATTTGGGCAAAAGTGTAGGTAGACGATGATTATGACATTACTAGTAAGATACATAGTCTTTGTGTAATGTTGATTGTTGCGCTGTCCGTGTCGGAGCGTTATCTCGCTCATACGTTGGTACACAATGAACATCTACATATTGTTCGGTGGCTTCATTATTTTGCTCCTTCAAAGACAGGTAAATAATATCAGACAAATCTATACATTATTTTACATTAGAATTCAAAATCTTCACCAAAGGAGAATGACTATTGGTGGTAAAGGTTTTTTTGAAGTCACCCAGAATGATAGTTTTGAACTCGGGTTTTTTATTACAACTAATAAGATTTGAAATTATTTTTATATTATTATATTTTGCTTGTCAAAAATGTTCAAAGTGTTGCCATAACCAAAATAAGAAAAGATCACAAAACTTGCTCACAAAAAATTAAGAAATAAAATAAAATCCTAGAAGTTAATTTAAATACCGAGTTTGTTTATAATCGAATATTGAATAGAAAACCGAAGTAGCAACATTGGCGACATCATTTCCGATGTCTGGTTCCCAAGTTGGTTCAAGCAGCATGACTCCTGCAGCAGACTCTACTCGAGGGTTGTGCGGTCCATGGCCCTTTAGTAGGTAATCTAAATAAAGGTATAAAGTTAAATATATCAATGTATGTTTTGTTCGCAGATCTTCGCCATACATTTTAATCCAAATCATTGTTGGAGAATTCACTATGTAAGTTGTTCCGTTTATATATAATAATAATATTAATAAAGTTTATTATCCCATTTTTTTTACAATAAAAGTGTATGAGCTACATTATTGTACGTAAGTTTAGTTAGCAAAACATTTAATCGACTAATGCTTAAAAAAGCATAACCTGTGCTTTAAGCATCAGCAACCTTCCAGTGACTCAGGATATTACCTGCTCAAATAGAGTTTAGTTAGACCTCTATACATGAATTATTTATATACGACTGAATAGGTACTATATAAAATAAAGTAAACTACAAATATAGAATAAAATAAAAATAAGTTTCGTTCATCTGATATATTAATTTATCTGATCATATGCTTTGGTGTGTGTAGCGCGTGCATGCATGTGTGAGTGTGTCTATGTGTCAGTATGTCTAGTCTATCCCAAGTAGAAATATAATATGCTATTGCTGATCGACAGAGTGCGCAGTACACCATTTTAGTTACAAAAGGATCAGCAACATGCCTAAAATGTTTAAAAACAAAAATAAGTTTGTGCACTCTGCCAGACAGCATATTGATATGGGGCTTGCACGATAGGTGATCATCCAATATGACTCCTAAATAACGAGTACTAGGTGCATATGTAAGTTGCGGTCAGAAACAGTCAACTTGTTTATGGACTCTAATGTTGAAGTTACATAAATTACTCGAAGGGGTGTTCCTGATTTTCAAGTCATAAATAAGGTTTTGTCAACATTAAGAGTTGGTAGGTTAGCTGCAAGCCATTGCGTAACCTTATTCATGCCACTCTGGGCTGCTAGGAAAGTTTCTCGCCATGTTTGGGTTTTGGAGGTTAAGAGGGTATCATCGGCAAATGCGACTATTCTACCGTTCTCTAATCTAATATTGTTTTTCATTGTACTTCACTGTAGTGTCAATACTAAGGATCATTATATTCTATGAGTCTATGTTCAACAGACCGATTATATACCTATAATAAAAGAGTAGAAAAAACAAAAAATATTTCTTGGAATTTTTGTCTACCTGTCTGTCTGTCAGTCAAAAACTACTGAATGGATCGTAATGAAAATTGGAATAGTGATTAGTTGGAGTTAACATCTGCATTAATTTATACTACTCGAAAAGCTAAGACGTGCCTTAGAATGGGAACCCGAAGTGTAGTTTAAATTTTTATTTTTGGGTTAGATTTTGTAAATTAGTTTAGGAGTACAAAATCACAAATAAATAAACTAGACCAGACTATGCAAAATGTGAGGATCGAATACCACCAAGGAATTTGTGTTAAGATCACTATAAGGGTAAACAGCCTGAATTGATAGTCGAAAGTTACATTTGTATACAATACGAGTACTATAATATTTGACTGCTTTGGTGGTGCAGTGGCAGCGTATGCGACCGCTGTGCTGAGGTCTTGGGTTCGATGTCTAGGTCAGACCAAATATTTGGATAATCTGCTAATTTTTTTTCGGACTTTGGGTGTTTTCTATGCATAATATGTATCTATTTACAAAAAAGTATAAAAGCATTGTATTAGTCAATCTAGCTACGAGGGGAGGTCCAACAGTTCGTGGAATGAAAGGGTTTTAAATAAAATGAAACAATAAATCTATCTTTCCTTTTTAAAATAATCACCCTTAAGCTGAATACATTTATTAGAACTATGAATTAATTTTTCTAAAACATCGTAAAAATATTTTTTATCTTTTGCCTCAAAATTTGCTAAAATTGCCTCAAGTCTTTTTTAAATTGGGGCACAAATAAAAATCACTTGGGGCTAGATCTGGACTATAGGGTGGGTGGACCAGTGTTTCGAAGCCATGCTTATGCAGAGCAGCCCTTGCAACTCTGCTCTTGTGAACCGGCGCGTTGTCTTGCAAGAGCAACACACCCTTGGTCAATTTTCCTTGACGTTTTTCTTTGATGGCCTCCTTTAATTTCTCTAGTATCGTTGCGTAGTATTTTTCGGTTATGGTCCTTCCCTTTTCTTTGTAATCAATGAGTATTATCCCCTCACAATCCCAAAAAACAGTAGCCCTCAACTTGCCAGCCGACTCCGACACTTTGAATTTCTTTGGCGGTGGTGTACCCTTTCTATGGCATTGCATGGACTCTTGTTTGGACTCAGGCTCAAAGTGATGAACCCATGTTTTATCTCCGGTAACAATCCGCTCCAAAATCTGTGCAGGTTCGCCTCCACACAATTTCAAAAATGGTTTTGACGCATCGACGTGCTGTTGTTTCTGAAGCGACGTGAGCATTCTCGGTACCCATCTTGCACTGACTTTTGTCATACCCAGGTGGTCATGTAAGATTTCCAAAATGGTGGAATTTGATACTCCAACTAATGCAGATAACTGTTTTTTCTTCAAACAGGTGTCCTCCAGTACAATTTTCTCTAATTTTTCGACGATTTCTATTGTGGTGCCCTCAACTGGCCTTCCTGAGCGGGGGTCGTCCAAAATCGACGCCCGACCATGTTCAAAAGGACCATGCCACTTGTAAATCATTGATTTACTAGGGCACTGTCCCCATAAACGGTTTGCATTTCATTCAAAATAGTCTGAGCGATCTTTCCTTGCCAAAGGAATTTTATCACAGCACGGTGTTCAATTTTCTCCATACTTGTTTAGCAGGCGAATATTCGTAAACGAATGAAGCAATAGGGCTGAAACTTAATTTATATACTAATGATGAGCCCCCAATTAGTATGACACTAGTAGACACTAAGCGAGCGCCCCTATCTCCACTCTATCGCCTCCATTCCACGAACTTTTGGACCTCCCCATCATAGTACAAGTTTTACTTAGTTTGAAACTAGATGGCGTTGTGTGTCAGATGTCCGAAATATCATTATTATTATATATACATTATGAGCCTTTGTTTTTTCAGATAGGTGGGACTTCTCCCTTATTCAGAGGTGGATTTCTATTTATTTACAAAAATAAATATATTTAATTTGTTAACAATTTTATTTAATACTAACACTAGTTTAAGTCACACTGTTCCTAACATTATATGAATGGATTTGGCCGAAATAAATAATTTGAACTTGTTCGTCGGTAGGGCATTATTCAAGATTGCTGCCCATTTGAACCTTTATATGCAACACCTGCTTTCTTGGCTTGCGGCGTACCGAAGTTCCAGACTAAATTGGCGAGCCCCGAGGATGTAAGTAACACATTTTTTTTTGTTTTTATTCTTTTTGCACAAATTACAACTCACTTGTACAATGGCGGACTTAATGCCACATACATTTTCTCCCAGTCAACTTTTGGGTTGCGGGGAAATATCTGAGTAGGTGCACTAGAAATTAAGTTTAGTTTTAAAAAGATAATAATTATACTTAATTGGGGAGATGGACATAAACGGTGAGACAGATATATATATAAATACACACTAAGTACACATACACATATAATAGCTGAGTTACATACATACATATAATATACACGAACAATATATAAAACTTTACGGTTGTGATGAATCTGATGGGGTGTCCAGAATGCGAGCTCTGACTTTCGACTTAAATAAGAGGCGGTTGGGTGATACCCTGATTTGGAGAGGTGGAGCGCTCCAAAGGAGTACAGATTGGTTTAGGAACGAAGAGTGGACACACGCGGAAGTATGAGTGGGACATAACAGGAGTGGATTGTTTGAGGAACGGAGGGTTCTGTTGTGGTTAGAACATATAAATTGCAATGAGGATGTAAGGTAGGAATTGGAAATGGGTAAGTTAAGAATGGAATGGAGGGTGAATCGACGCATCTTTGCCAACGCATTGGCAGTTTATTGATGCCCTTCTTGTAAAAATCAGCTGGACGGGAGGCAACAAACTCTTCAAAGGCATTTTGAACTGCCTCTCGGGAATTGAATTTTTTACCCACTAAAAAGTTGTCTAAATTTTGGAAAAAGTAATAGTCGGTATTAAGAATACAAATTGTCACCACCCCAATTCATCCCGTGGGTGTCGTAAGAGCCGACTAAGGGAGCAAACTAAGCAGAACAACAGCACTGCAAAGAGAAGGAAAACTTGAAACAAACCCTATACCAACCTGTCTGGCCAGCGTGGTATAGTAGGCCAAAACCTCCTTTCTAAGGAGAGGCCTATGTCCAGCAGTGGACTAGTAAAGGCTGTTGATGTGATGATGATGATGTTGATGAATCAATAATGTGGTCGACCATTTCAAATTAGTTATATTTCATGATGTGGCTAGCCTGATATGGCCGAAATTTAATTGACACATTATCAAATGTATCAACATGAAATGTGTGAACACGATAAACAATACTAAAATCAGTTAACTACTGTAATATATTGCGATAACGTCGATTTAATTCGCTTTCAAAACAAAATAGAAATCCACCAACACGTTTGGCGTATGCACACCAATGCATCCATGCCATGCATGCATGAAATGAGGTACAAAACTGAGGCCAAAAATAGATAAAAACAAACTTTGAAGTGGGTTTTATATCTTTTTTATTGTATGTTTTTAATCGGTTCAGCACTTTTTGGGTGTTCAAGCGTGCACAAACCAACTTAACATTTGCAACCGCAGGCAGTTGCAACCGCCAGAATAGGTTGGCTGTTGACGTATAATTTTTAAACTATTGAGAGAGTATTCCATTCAATGTGAGCCTTGTGGAGCAGGTAATGAATTATCATATCTTAGACAACTTTGCTATCATCTGGCACACCCTTATAACCTATAAACTGCAAAATAAAAAATAGCGTATTCTAATTCGATCCTTACGCCATCAATCGAGCAGTGTGACGTTTTATATTTCGATTTTAAATTAAAACAATTGTTTTCCAGTGCAATTATTATGCGTGTATATTCAATAAGCTGGGTTGGATGCATCTCAACGGCACTGTTAATTATAAAACATATAAAAAATCTTTAGATAAATGGACCGAGCACCAATATAACATTAAGAAGAGTATGCAACTGGCTCAAAACAGATGTATGAAGTGGCCCTGGAAAACTATTGAGTATCCCCGCAATCCATTCGGCTATGTAGACGGCACAATTAACGGTTGTCAAATTAACAGACTAAATGCATGTTTACGGATATATACACAGTGGGTAAGTGGCGTTGTAAGCCTCATCCTGTTAAAGCGCAATTAACGAGTCGACGTCACCTGCAGTGCAATTCTCTAAGAAAACAGCCTTGCGTACAGCGTTGCCACAGAGTCGAAGTCGAGTTGAAACTAGGTAAGTAAGTAAATAAGGTAAGTGCCTACTTGACAAGTGCAACTCAAGAGTCACAACAGTGGCCCTCCTTCCCCTTCTAGAGCCAGGGAGAAGTGGTGGCTCCGATAACATGACTCGTTTGCGACGGTTTGCAGTGGTCTCACTCCGGTGGAGCCGTTCCATTCGTTCCAAATCGTGGCTTTCCAGTCAGTCAGTCTTATCACAATTCATCCAATTTATTTCTGCAATTTCTGGTCCGTGTGGTGACGGATTAAGAATACAGAGTGTCACCACCCCTATTCATCCGGTGGGTGTGTGTAAGAGCCGACTAAGGGAGAAAACCATACAGAACAACAGAACTGCAGAGAGAAGGAAAACTTGACACAAATCCTATACCAACCCGTCTGGCCAGCGTGGTATAGTAGGCCAAAACCTCCTTTCTAAGGAGAGGCCTATGTCCAGCAGTGGACTAGTATAGGCTCTTGATGATTTCTGCAAAAATTGTCAAAATATTATTCTTTCATACAAACTATACTGGCCTTTTTTATTGAAGAGGGGGCAAACGAGCAGACGGGTCACCTGATGGAAAGTGACCATCGCCGCCCATGAACGTCTGCAACTCAGGAGTCACAAGCGCGTTGCCGGCCAAAACATATCAATCTCCCACCTCGTAGTATAAATTCATACTAAGGTTGACTTGAACTCATAAAACAAACCAAACAGATAATAAAGTTATGGTTTTGGCTTCATCGTTGATTATAAAATATCCTTAATATCACTCCCAACAACCTCCTCGCCTTCCTCTCGGGAAATACTTAAAGGATGGGCACGTCACTAAAGGAAGGTCGAAAAATTTAGCGACTCCAGTTTATTATTATACCTGTTTGACTTCATACTTCTGTGCAGACAGTCTTTGCGGTCAAGCGACAGAGACAAAGGAGGTCGTCATTGTTTTCAATGCAGCTCAGTACAAATATTGTATTCAGAAACATGTTCACTTTAATAATTTATAACTTTATGTACAATGTGTATAGACAAAGACCTAATGCTTAAAGCATTCTCGGCCAGTCCACCGTAGGGTAGGTAGGTAGGTGGTAGAGTAACGCAGAAATGTGTGAGAGTAGGTGGATCAAAAATTATAGGAGAGTAAGATGTAGAACTCTCCCGGCCCGCCAGGAACGGGCTAGGTACCGCAGGCGACTCAGGCGCCGGAGGTCGCAGAACGACCTCCGTCCTCCATAAGCGCAGGCCTGGGGGTGACAGGTGAGGCCATCTGTCACCCTAGCAGAAGCAGGCCGGGGTGGCGGCGAGCGCGTTGCGAAGCGCGCTCGCCGCCACCGATACTCGGTTCGAGTCCGACATGTCACCGATAGGTGGTATCCGAGGGGATTTCCGCACGGAAAAAAAAAAGAGTAAGATGTGAAGAAAATAATAGCGTAAATACTTATATAGATAACTTTATATTCATACATACGCACAACTATATATATTAGTTGTATATTTCATATACTATATTCACGTTTATGACACAACTATATATGAAATACACATCTAATGTATTTATATAAATTAAATGAAATTATGTATTTCAACTTTTGTGATGAGGAGAGACGAAGCTTAGCTTTAAACGAAATCTATGTGTCATCCTGATTTCCTGTGGTGGGGCATCTCAGAGGACGACAGACTGGGACACAATAGAAAAAGATTGTTTGAAGAGCGGAAATTACCATTATGATTGAAGCAAAGGTCTCACGTGTGATTGTAGGGGGAGTGACGCTGTCTAGGAAAATCTCATCAAATCTCACCAGGGAGGGTTTGGCCTACTATACCACGCTGGCCAGACGGGTTGATATAAGGGTTTGGTTAAAGTTTTCCTTCTCTTTGCAGTGCTGTTGATAATGACTTCACATAACGCCCAATTATGGGTGATTTATGGGTTTATGATAAATCCAGGTCGATAAAACAGAACATAGAGCGACTTTTTTTCTTATAACTGTCAATGTAATAAGCTTTGAATGAAGAAATATATTTAAATAACCGTTTTTTTTTCAGTATTGCAGACTCAAACGCAGCCATTATTGTGAAGATTACCGTTGGCAGTTCAGTTTATGTCAACGCTATCTGTTTGAGCCTTGAGAGCATTCAGAAAATGTTGAAGTATTATTAAAAATATTAAAAAATAACGTGAATTTAGTTTTTCTTTGTGAATTTGTGATGATTGAGAAGTTTGAGAAGTCTTCTTCCTCCGAGACTTTCCCCCAAACAAGGTTTTGGACGTCTTTACGTCTACTAAGATACGGCTGGACTTCGATTTTCAACGCTGAGGGACTGCTATCATACTTCCACAAGCCAATTACTAGGCGATATCGAATTTCTGTAGGAAGACTATTGTTGAACTTTTTAAGAGATGTTCTGACAACCGGGACCAACGGCTTAAAGTGGTCTCCGGGTAAAGGGATCTCAATGTGTTAAGAATTGTCACCCATCCATAGATTTAATGAAGTTAATATACTCGATTACCACTTAGCCACGGGCCCCTCAATAGATCTCTTTTTTGTATATAATATTATTCATCATCATCATCATCAACAGCCTATAACAGTCCACTGCTGGACATAGGCCTCTCCTTAGAAAGGAGGTTTTGCCCTACTATACCACGCTGGCCAGACGGGTTGGTAAAGGGTTTGTGTCAAGTTTTCCTTCTTTTTGCAGTACTGGTGTCCTGCGTTGTTTTGCGCCCTTAGTCGGCTCTTACGACACCCACGGGATGAATTGGGGTAGTGACATTCCGTATTCTTAATCCGTCACTACATGGACTCAATACATATACATATATACAATATTATTGTTTGCCTCTAATTCTTAATCCGGCAATTGGTTAACTGTAAGAATCTGATAATATTAAATTAGGATACCTAAATATGTAAATTCGTAGTTGTACTTAACCCATAAGAAGGTTTAATGAGGGATCGAAGGTGACCCCTATCGGCTACTGATATTAATTTTATATTACACATCACATCACATTACATCAACAGCCTTTAATAGTCCACTGCTGGACATAAGCCTCTCCTTAGAAATGAGGTTTTGAACTACTATACCACGCTGGCCAGACGGGTTGGTATAGGGTTTGTGTCAAGTTTTCCTTCTCTCTGCAGTTCTGTTGTTCTGAGGAGTTTTCTTCCTTAGTCGACTCTTACGACACCCACGGGATGAATGGTGACACTCTGTAGTCTTAATCCGTCACCACATCTGTTACACATTATTATATATTACAGGGGTTGCGAACCTTTATAATAATATGCCATCGTGCCATTTTTGTCAAGAAACGGTTCATTATACGTGCGCTCAAATAATTATATCTTTGTGATCAATAAAACTGAATATAGAACTCAGAATGCTGGCTGGCCATATAGCACGTTTGAACAAACAAAAATGGACTAAAAAAGTTACTGTTTGGACTGGACCATTCGGTAAGAGAAGCAAAGGAAGACCACAAGAGAGATGGATAGATGAGATAAAGAAGGTGGCGGGCATAGACTGGTTTACTAAAGCAAAAGATAGAGAGTATTGGAGAAAATTGGAGGAGGCCTTTACTCGATGAGAGGTCCTTAATTAATAAATATTTAAAAATAATTTCTATATATTTGTAATAATTTAAGAATCATCTAAACAATAATGTAAAACAAATTTATATAATATTTTTTCAAATCAAATCAAATCAAATCATTTATTTGTGATACATGGGTTACATACAGGTGTTCATTACATAATTATTAATGATGTTCATTCCATGATCTGCCATTTGGGCATACAAATTATTAAGCAATATATTGATTAATATTTAAAATTATAGTATTTAAAAAAATATGTACATATATTAAAATTCTGATTATTTGATAAAAAATTCATTAAAGATTATATATAAATTCTATTATTACTGTAGGTCATGACATACGCAATTTATTCAACAACAATCAACGCCAACATTAAACTTGGACATGAAACATTTAAAAAAATCGAGTCTATAAAAATTCATCAACAGAGTAATAGCATTTTTCTGTGAGAAATTTGAACAATTTATTTTTAAAGACATAGATGTTGCCACATTCTTTTATATCGTTAGGAATCTTATTGTAGATCTTTGTGGACATAGCAAACACACTCTTCCCAAAGAGGGTAGTTCTATAGTGACAGGTAAGGTTATTATACAGGTGACTTCTATTTCGCGATTTAATCTCTAATGTAAACAGTGACGGATTATGTCTAATAAACAATGCCATTTCAAAAATATACAATGATGGTACTGTAAGTATTTTTAATTTTTTAAAATAATTCTTGCAGCTGTCAGTTCTTTTAAGACTGCACATAGCTCGCACGCACCTTTTTTGACATTTAAAAACTCTATCCCAGTTGGTAGTATTTCCCCAGAATATGATTGCATATCTAAGTCTAGAAGCAACATTACTATGATAAGCTACGAGTAATGAGTTAAGATTGACCTTTTTTGCTAGCATGTATAGACTATAAGATGACTGTGACACTTTTTTACAAACGAAATCAATATGACTTTGCCATTTCAAATTGTCATCTATGTGTACACCGAGAAATTTTGTTGTAGTCGTCAATTCAACTTTTTCACCATTAAATTCTATTAGAGTATGAAAAGTGTTTTTTGTTTTTTGTTTAAATTGCATTAATTTAGTTTTATCGATGTTAATTAGTAAATTATTATTTTGAAGCCATTGAATTATTGAATTTAAACTATTATTTATAATATTTTCATCATAGTATATAACAGTACAGTCATCAGCAAATAGTATCACACGATCTGTAGTAGATTTTGGCAGGTCATTGATATAGATAAGAAAGAGCAGTGGGCCCAGAACACTACCTTGTGGAACTCCATATTTTATGCTTCTACTCTTGGACTTATAATTTATTTCATATTTAGTTTTAGGACAGATTTTGACAATACTTGTGATCTGAGTTCTGTTACTAATGTAAGACTTTAGTAAGTCCAAAGTGTTGCCCCTAACACCATACGTTTCAAGCTTACTCAGTAGTATACTATGGTCCACGCAGTCGAAGGCCTTTGACATATCCATATACAAAGCATAGACAGGTTGTCTTTTATCAACTCTAGGATATACTAAACTTAAGAAATCATATATAGCTAAATTTATGGACATATTTTTACGAAAACCTTTCTGATCCGGCGTAAAGATATTATTCCTTTCAAAGTAGTCATACAAGTTATTGTATATGGCTTTTTCAATTATTTTAGAAAATATTGGAGTCAGGGCTATAGGCCTGTAATTTTTTATATCTGATTTATCATCCTTTTTATGGAGCGGTTTAATTATAGTGGTTTTTAAGACAGATGGAAATATTCCCTGTTCGAAGCACATATTTATGATACAGCTCAGTATAGGTGCAATCATATGAGACACGGATTATATTACCAAAACACATATGTCATCAAAACCGGTACTCTTAGTGTTATTTAATTTTTTTATAAAATTGTGAATTTCCATAGGACTAGTCGGATTCAGAAAGAATGATTTCGGTGTATTATACGTGCATGTAGAGATTATTGGGATATTATTACCGTTACTGCTAGTCTCAGGTTTGACTATATCTGCATAGTAGTCATTCAACAATTCGGCGATTCGTTGAGGGTCCATAATTTTATGTTTGTCTATTACCAATTCACTTATAGTCTCAGGGGGAAAATTCTGTTTTTTGCCATTAATTATGTTCCAGGTGGCTTTCGATTTATTTTTTGAATTTAGAATGTAATAATTATTCTGAGATTTTTGAGTTAATTTAATAATTTTGGAATATGTCAGTGAATATTTTTTTAAATTCGATTTGTCTACGCTACTTTTTGATAGTCTATATTTCCAAAGAAGAGAACGTTTACGCCCACTACATTTCTTAATACCACGTGACATCCATTTTGGTACAATGGTTGTTTTATTTTTAATTTTAAGTATAGGAAAGCACATTTCGTAAAATAGTCTAAATGTATCATAAAATAAGTTAAAAGCATCATTTGCATTCTTTGACTCAAACACTTCAGTAAATTTTAACTCTTTAATGCACTCTTTAAATTTTCCTAAATTGTCTTTAGAATAATCGCGTTTAAATGTAAACCAGTGGTCAAATGTACAGGTCTTTTTGACTGGACATGAAATATACTGCGCCTTATGATCAGATAAACCAAGTTCCAAGACAATTGATTTGGCACCACGAATATTATGGAAAATATTATCAATGCAGGAACCACTACTTGGTCTTGTAGGCTCATTAATTGCTTGTGTTAGATTAAATTCCGTTGTTAGTTGTTCCAACTCTAATGTGTACTTATTCTTTTTTAACATATCGATGTTAAAATCACCACAAACAACGATCTTGTTATTTCCATATTTTGTGAGGAGACATAAAATGTCATTAAAATTATTAAAAAACAAATTAATATATTTACTATAGCTATTACTCTTTGGTACCCTATAGAGGCATAAAATTATCATATTGTGGTCAACTAATTTAATTGCAGAGCATTCAATCACATTAGAGATACTATATTTTTGAACAGCTTCAAGTACGACAAAGTTAAAATAGTGTCTCACTAGAATGCACGTTCCCCCTCGTCGCTTGTTTCGTGAAAAATGGGTAGCTAAAATGAAATTCGGAATTTCGAGGAGTTCAATATCATCACTTGTCATATTATGCTCAGAAAAGCATAAAACGTCAATATTTCTACCTATATCTGCTAGGTCATTAAGGCAGACAGTAAACAAATCAGACTTCGCAATAAGGCCACAAATGTTTTGGTGAATTATATTTACATGGTTATAAACGAAAAAAATTGTTGCGTTTTGAAACAGATTTGACAGAACCTATTTTCTTAGAAGTGGAGTCACAACATGTAGCAACATTAATGTCACATTCAGAACTTTTAGTAGAAAATTTAGCATCACAATTATTATAGACAGTACATGGCAATGTCAATTGGTTATTATTATTAATATTACAATATATCTTATTATGATCATTATTATCAGCATTAGTCAAGAATAATTTACATTTTGAATTGTAGTACAATCGTAATATGTCCCTTAATATATACCGACATATGTAAGTCGGGAAATGGATATGTTTCGGTTTAGTGTTGTTAAATTTATAAAAATCCATGACTACAAATGAGGCGTTTAAATAGTTGTCACATATTTTAGATATTTCATTATTTAATTTTTTTTCTTTAATACATCTATTAAATAAGGACTCACATATTAATATATTAGTGCTTTGGTAAGATTCAATCCATAGTACTAATTGATTACAGATAGCCGAAATACTATTATCCTCTGTGTAACCTATCACAATCACAAAATCATTCATTGTCAGGTTTGATATTTCAGTCATACATGAGTTCAATATATCAGAGAGTTTGCCAAAAGGTTTCACGAAGCAAAATACATCATATTTATCTCCCAGAAGCTGGGTAAGGACTTTCCGAATCCCGCGACCCTGTTGATCTGCAAGAACAATTACTTTGCGTTTAGTTTTATTTGTGCCAGTTAAGGCGGTAAATTCCATTTTTTTCATCTCATTTTTTCTTATTATTGATTGGTCAGTACTTTCGTTCAGCATAGTGTCATCCGTGAGCGACTCTTTAGTGAATGTTCTAGAGAACTGGTTGTTTATATCGGTGTTGATATCATCATACGACCCATTTTCTGTCTGTATGGTTTCCAGTTTATTCATAAGTTTTTTTATTTTGAGTTTTTAATATCGAAATTTTATGAGTTAAATAATTTATTTTTCTTCGTCGCTTTTTGATTTGTTGTTTACATGTTTTAAATGAGAAAGGCTTTCCAAGATGTTTCGTCATAGAAATTCCTGTTGTTTGCGTTGAAATTTCATTTGTTTCTGGAATGCTGTGCCTAGGTGATACTGGATATACACAGGAAAATACTTTTTTAACCTTTCGTATAACCGGAGTAGAAACAGCATTCAACAAGTTTTCCGTAATGCCAATCTTCTTATACAATGCTATCACTTTTGATGATTTTTCAACACTCATCTTTAATTGTATATTTTGTAAATTCAAATTTTCAATCTCTTCATTAGCTGAAGCTAACCTTAATTTTAATGTAGAAATAATTTCTTCGTATTCTTCAAGTAAAGTATAATCCTTTTTTGAAGTGGCAGGTAAACTGTTCACTGATGAATCTAGTAATGAACTATTTTCAATATCTACAGCTGTCTCCTCTGTCAAGCTAACATTTAATTTTGGAGTTTGTTTTTTTCTATAGGTGATATTACAATATTGATCCCCATCCATATTGGAGGGTAACGATATATATTGTTGTTATTATACTCACGTGGCGTAGGCAAGCCAGGCGATACCGATGGAGTCCAGTTGTGTTAAATATATACTCGTATTTCACCGTTTGTAGGTACTCGTTTTATCTATTCAAGTCGCAGATATGTGTGGCCTGGTAGTACTTTCTTTTTGTAGTTTATTAAGAGACAATGTCAATAAACCTCACAAAAAGTGAAATCACTCACAGTAGTGGTTCGAAACCGACAAGCTTTAAGTGCATCTCCGCGGCCGCCTTGTTACCCAGCTAGCTGCGTAAACATTAATTCTTCATAGCGAATTTTAGATTCATTAGATAATGTTAGTGATTTCTGAGGACGGCGAAACGGTTACTATGACTCACCGTTAAGGATTTTTTTCCGCATTCCAATCAACTTTGTACACAAATGTTAGGACCAAATATGTCGTTGTTCAATGTTAAAATATCACTGTTTATATGGATTTCAACTAGATTACCATACTTTTATTGTTTAGTTTGTTTATTTGATATATTTATTCACAAATTGGTTGAAATCAACTGTCAATGATTTAGCACTGTTTTATAGTGTATAGTCTGATAACGTTATCACACATTTCACTTGATATTAGAAGCGATGTAACGGTATTTTTTTCACGATTTAAGCACTAAAAATAGTTTAAATTAAATTATTTACACAGATCACTTTTGGACAGAACTATGGTGAGCAGCGCCACCTGGTGGACCTGGTGGTTTTTAGTTGAAATCACTTAATGTTAAAAAGTATAATATCATTGTATACTTAAAAATTTAATAATGTTGTTTTAAGGAAGTTTGTTAGTATTAAGGAAATAAAGGCCAGGTGGAGTGACGATTTGCGCAAGATGGCTGGCAGGAGCTGGATGCGAGAAGCCCAAAATCGATCTAAGTGGCGTGCAATGGGAGAGGCCTATGTCCAGCAGTGGACTGCGATAGGCTAATGATGATGATGATGAAGGAAATAAAGAGGCTTTACACATAGAACTCAGAAACAATAAAAAACGTTGTAATTAAGATGGAAGTATCATTGGTGTTACTTCTGTTGTTGCAGATTAGATGACAACATTTTATATTATCACTAGCTTTTGCGCGTGGCTCCACTGTGCGCGTGCATGTCGTTTATCACAGTATAAGTAGCCCATATCCTACCTCAAAAATCAAACTATCTCCATAACAAAAATTCATCTAACTCTGTTCAGCGGTTATTGATTCTCCATACAAAATTCCAACCGTCTTTTCGCCCCCTTAAAAAACGATTTCGTTGTTAAAAATATCCTATATCCTAAATCCTACAATATCGCCCTCGTGTATGTCGGTTATATTGGTGGAAAGTAGCCTATTTCCTTTCTTAAGAATCATACTGCCTCCATACCAAATCCCATCTGAATTGGTTCAACGGTTATTGATTCCCCATACAAACTGCCTTTAAAGAATGATTTCTGGGATAAAACTATGTCCTTTCCCGGAACTTAAACTATCTCTGTATCAAATTTCATCCAAATCGGTTCAGCGGTTTAAGCTTGAAGAGGTAACCGACAAATAAACAAGCAGATAGATAGACAGACACGCTTTCGCATTTTCATGAATTAAGTATCAACAAATTTAAGTCTGTAAAACAAAAACTATGTGAAAAGGCTTACTACACGGTTAGAGATTATTTAGACGACAAATTTGCTTGGGATTCATGCTGCTCACTCCCGCGTTTACGTTCCTATCATTGTTGTTATGTTTGAAAGTGAAATACATTTAATGTTTGTGTAAGTATGTAAATGTGAGTATAGTGTAGGCTTGTTATGTTATGTTAGTTCATATTTTTAGTAACTTTCCGGCGGTAGTGTCGTGCTTCGGGTCGTTGATCTTAACCAATATCGGTTAGGCTACACGGTGGTTGGATCCCGTATGCCGTCTGTATGGATAGGCTGACTAAATACTATGGTCCTTCATTCAAAAGGCCTACCCAATCTCTACACTATACTCGCACAGTTTTCTTTAATTTTGTTAACGAACTAAAAAAAGGACACCTCTGTTGTTTGTTTCTTCGTTTCTTCCCAGAATGAGTCTTAGCAAATGCCGGCTCCTTCTAGCAGTAAAGTCTGACTTGTAAAAATATCTGAAAAGATTTACTTGCAGAAATAAATATCATTCATAATATTAGTATAGATTGTAATACTTTTAACTTAGATGCAAGCTGAAAACTGTTTTTATTTTTCATTTTGTTAAAACACCACTCCCACACTAAGTTTTTTTTTTAATAAAATTCTACTACATTCACACATCTAGTCCCAAACTAAGCAGAGCTTGTACTATGGCTACTAAATAACTGATATAAATACATATATCCTATTTTTTTAAATACATACATATTAAACATTAAATATTCATGCACACAAAGGTTTGACTTGAGCGGGAATTGAACCCACGGCCTTTAGAATAGCAGTCCGTTACACAAACCACTACGCCATCTGGTCGTCAATCTTAATCATACTCATATTTTGTGTCGCGGGGACTTCTTAAACATCCATGAAACGTATTCAAAAACCAGCCAGACTCAGAACAGTAATTTGTGAATCACACAAAATGTAGCAATACTGAGCGCAGTAGGCAGCGGCGAGGTGACCGCTTAAACCACTACGCTTTCCATGGATATCGGCTGTTGAGGATTCAACTAGTGCACTGCTGGATATAGGCATCTAGGATTAGAAAGGAAGTATTGTTGTACTATACCACGCTGGCGGGTTGGTGTAGGGTTTGTGTTAAGTTTTCCTTCTCTTTGCAAAGATTTTGTCCTGCGTAGTTTGCTACCTTAGTCGGCTCTTACGACACCTATAGGATTGATAGGGGTGATGACAATTCGTATTCGTTATCCGCAAGCACTCGGACAGTCAGATATTAGTAATGTAGTTATATCATTAAATCGAGCGGCCTGCCTCAAATATTGTGTCGTGTGCTACCAGGAGACAGTGTGCTAATGGTTCGTCATCCCTGATGTGGATTACAGTTACACCTTTATCGAACTCGCTGCACAACCCCCAAAATGCTGCAGGACCACAAACTACGTTGGTTATCGCGTCGTCAAGTATAGCTGGGCTGTACGAGGGGACGCTCCTCCGAGGGGCCAACGCGAGGACACAATAAAAACTATTCATTGTTATTGTAGTCCGGGATAACACATAGGCTACCATTTATCGCATAAAATTGATTGACAAAATTGATGTTTACGATAATGAAACCGCGGGCAAAATATATAAAGCCGTTTAGGCTACAGAGCGTGCCAAAGAAATATAAAGTATATATAAGGTTTACCTAAGAATTCGTGAAGTCAGAAAGATATTGATTTTCAGAAGTCTATTATCTATGTTCAATGTTTATTTTTTTATTTCTAGGTACTATCCAAGAGAAAATTCTGTAAAGACAAGATGCAACGTAACAGCAAAGTTGCTACTATTAACCCGTACACACGGCAGTTGAAGACCTTCGTTGCGCATGAACAGTCTTACTTCATCTGTAAACAGGATCCAAATAATATTAAGTTCTCTTTTAGCTCATAGTACCAAGGTATTGCGTTTTCGAACTATTTTCAAAGCCAAATAAATGAAAGAAATAAAATACAAACTAATTTTTGGATAAACTAAACTCCCGACTGCCTAAAAATGTATCCTTACTTAAAATGTACAAACCTCTTAAGCCAAAATATATAAAGCCGTTAAGCTACAAAGCTTGCCAAAGAAATATAAACACATACATACATACAAACACTCCTTCCGAAGTATTCGAGAAAAAATAACACAGTTATCTTGAAATATGAACACAAGAACAAGTTGGTTAAAATCACGTTTAATTTAATAATTTCAATATAAAATCCAAGTAACCCTAGCTCGCCCTATCTGGTTTCTTGGCCCAATTTACGTTTTGCCCGTTTATAAACGATTACATTGCCAGGGATAGTAAGCGTCAGACAAGCGGCCAGTTACAGAGAACCAATTCGAAACGATCGAACCCAAATTTAATTGGGAGAGGAATAGAAATTTGATGATAATGATTATTCATCATTATCATCAAATTTCTGCTTCAAGTCAGCATCAGTCAAAGAAGTAAATGTCAAAGTTCTATAACCAGCTTTGTTTTAATAAGTGTGTTATAGTGCTATCTCATCAAATCGCTGCGCTCAACCAATGCTAGATATACCGACCATCGCATACTCCAGAGATTGTTAACTTGATCAACAGGAGCCCTGAAGGATCTGCTCAAAATTTTTGTTTTCTACATAAATTTCAAGCGTATGACAATACTTTACATATTATCAACTGTTGTAAAAGTAAATGAGTAGGTAATTATACGTTATAAGTATAGATTTTTGGTTTTAGTAAGTTGTATGATTTCACAAGACACAAGACCTTAAGTCTTAGAAAAGTATCTTTAAAGGTTTTATAGAGTTGGCCGAGACACTAGCGTTATTGTCAACTTTTAATCCACCTTTTTTAATTTTCTATATCTTTACTTTATTTTTTTTTATTTGTCACTGTGTTGAATAAGTTTTATATTACTTATTAAGTTACCGGTAATTAACGCAAAAATATGTAACCACGACCAGTGCAAAAATCTATGTATAGTGCATGAAAAATTCATTTTATTATTGTACTTAAGACACACACACCCTCACTCACACCACACACACACACACACACACACACACACACACCCATATTTACACACACAGCACATACACATCCTCCCAAACATATGTACACACCCGCACACAAATATATCTAATTAAACATACTAAACTTAATTTTGTCTACTATTGTAAGTATTTGTTCACCTTGTCGTTGAGGAGGAGCTGACTCCCTACACACAGTTTGGGAATCAGGGCTGTATAATGTTTATAATGCACTTATTGTTAAAATAAACATTTTATTATTATAATAAACATTATAAAATCGGTTCTGGGAAAGTTTCAACTAGGTAT